GAATATATAGGACTGTGGGACTGTGTGGACTGTTATTAAAGGAGATTGTAACATGTACGAACCTACACAGAAAAGAGAGCCTCTACGACACGACGACGGCCATAAACGACGGCTACATTGACGACACGAGGAACCTGAAACCCCAGGGCCTGTAGTATTGAGACACGAGGAACCTAGTATTAGGATGGAAGAACCTGAAACACCAGGGCCTTTTTTTCTGCACAACACATCAGTTCTGTTGTCCTGTCTTTGCAAAAGTACTCCAGACTCAGAGTAATTATCAGTCCTCAGTCATTACAGTCCACAGTATTTGACATTTAGTAGCTAGTTGCTGACTGTAGAATTACATAGGACTGTCGGACTGCAAGACTGCAGGCCTGTGAGAGTGAATTAGTTGGCATATGTACGGGACATGGTTTTGTAGACATACCACACTCTGTCCCACTAGCACTTCGAAATCTCAGGGGTTGACTGTGAGTATGCGGGACACAGCATCCATGGTTTAGACTGCAGGGCCAGGACTGGGAGCAGAGACATACTTCGAGTAAAACCTTAGGTTAGCTGTAACAGTCTAGCTGTCTCACAGTCCAAGATATGGCTATCATTCAGAGAGGAGCTTTGTTGTACCCAGTGTGACAATGGTCTGTGGACTGTAGGACTGTAAGACTGCTCGACTGCAGATACCAGTAACAACTCAAAACATACCAGGCCCCTTATGTGGACATTCTTTGAGTTTGCATGTCTTCTATGCTCACACACAAGTCCTGCAGTCTCAAGATATCCAACACCTCACTGCTGATTTCAATGATCTTACAGTCTGGTCTCATAGCAATTCCGGGAACTATCCAGCTTGTCAGTCTTGCAGTCAGTTGTCAAAGAGTCTAGTCAGTAGTTTGCACATACTCAGATAGTGTAGGACTGTAAGACTGCAAGACTGAAGCTAGAATCTTCTGCTTGTGTCTGTCACTGTGTCGATTCTACATGGGTCCCAAGTGCAGTCTCAGTACAAGGTAATCCTGAATGTGGGGGACTGCAGTAGATTGTAAACT